CCATAAGTAAATACCCGGAATAAAAAGTAGAACCGATTTCGGACTAATCCGGAATTTGTCCGCAACAGTACGATTTATTGTGGAGTTTTTTCACCATGAATTAAGTTTGAAATCAATACCGTTTCTTATCACTATTGAATCCGTAATTAGTCCGGTTTAGTCTGCAGTTAGTCAGATCATATGCGACTAGTAAATGCAGAAGTAATCCGAAACAGTCTGCTTATGAAGAGGTTTTTGTCGCTCGGAATTTGTCCGGATAAATTCAAACTCAATGCAGTTTGTGTATAACCAGTTAATCCGAAATTAGTCCGATCTAGTCCAAAGTTAGTCTGATAATACGCAACTTGCAAATGTGAAATAAGTCCGATTAAGTCCGGAATAAATATTGTTATGGTCAGGTTTTTGTCATACGAAATTATAATTATAGTTTTAATTTATCTGAATTTAATGTAAATTGTTTTTAACATACAAATTCAATATTATACCAAAATTATTCCGGATTAAGTCTTTGAATTGGATTGAATGTGGATTGTTTTGAACTGTCTGTGGATTGTATATATTTACAAATTTTTATAATAATAAGACTTATTTTCGGACTGGGGTGTTTTGATCGGATATTATTCGGATTGAGGCTGACTATTACCGGATTCTTTGCATAGAGATTTTGGATTGTTCCATACTTGTTTCGAATTTAGTATTATTTACATATTGATTTCGGATTATTTCATATTTATTTTAGATGAGTTTTTTGACGGACATAATTTCGGATTGTTGCGTAATAATTACGGACTTAATTCATAGACATTTAAGATTACTCCAGACTGATTTAGGATTCACACTTTCACTTGGATTGATGTTAAATTAACGCGTATCATTTTCGTAAAATTATCGTACTAATCCACACTAATATACCAGCATTTAATTCGGATTAATGCGAAATTTTTACCAGGGATATAATATGATTCGGGTGGCCGTCTATTACTGGATTCTTAGCATACATATTTCGGATTGTTTCGTATTTGTTTCGGAATATGATTTTACCACACTAATTCTGAATTGAAGCGGACTAATGTCGGATTCTTTGCGTACAGATTTTGGATTATTTCGTATTTGTTTCGGATTATGTCTTTCAATTGGATTTAATCCCAATTGTTGCAGACAATTTTTGGATTCGTTACATACAGCTTTCGGATTGTTTCGTACTTCTTTCAGAATGGGATTTTGCCACACTTAATTTCAAATTGTTGCGGACTAATACCGTATTTCGTGCTTACAGAGTTCGGATTGCTCCAGACATTTTGCGGATTAAGTATTTTTAACTAGATTAAACTCGGATTGTTGCGGACTGATTCCGTATTCTTTACATATTGATTTCGGATAATTCGGTACTTATTTTAGAAGAATTCTTCACCGCGAGAAGTAGAGGGATTCCAATTTTCATAAAAATTTTAGATAATTTATGGATGGCCTCTAACGATACATATAAGGTTTAAACGCGTTTTTCTCAAAATAACGTTTTCAAAAAAAAACATTTTTGCATACAATAAAAATAATGAAAAACATGGTATGTTTTGAAAGAAACATCTGCTATTTTTTTATTTTAATCGATTTTTCATTAACGGTGGTGGATTTCTATGCAAGACACCTTCCTTTTTAAAAAGCAATTTGAATTTTTTGTTTCGGATTTGTCAATTTTGAGATGAATTGTCCGCCATTTGACATTCAACTTTTTGGAGGTTTGAATTTGATGCTATCTGCAGATTATGATATTAAGTAAAAATTGAAAATAAACCATTATTTTTATTCTACAAATATGTACTAAGATAGAAAATTTTTTTTTACATATATTTATAATAAAAGAGCTAAGAAAAAAATATTAAAAATTTGATCTTTTAAGAGCCTTCTAAAGTGTAGTAGTAGAGTAGTACCGACAGAAATAAGCCACACTTTGGTTTTCACTTATTGCGTTTATTTGTAGAGAAAAAAGTTACCTAACTTTAGACAAACACATTTAAAATTTTTTAACTTTAACATATTGTTTAACATCGTTATGCAAAAAAAGAGAAATTTGCGATATCACGATTTTGTAGACAGAAGTAGGCCACCCAAGTTTTTTGATCTAAAATAAGTAAAAGGATCAAGCACTATGATTGTTTATGTTAAATGATTAATTTTTTCAATAAATAGTATTGTAAAACCAAGCACAAACAGTGCGTTCCGAAATTTTATTAATTTTTATTTGTTTTATAGCATCAAGTAATTTGTCATAGTCAATGAGTTCATAGCCAGTCGGTTTACCCTTTCTTGGTGGCTTGATTGCTAAACCATTCAAATTAATTCATAGAACCACTTCATTAGTTTATACAAAATCACTAAATGTCGAAACGAAACATCAATGCTGTGGCCCACTTCTGTCCACAAGCATAATTTGACGAGAAATTACGTGGCCATAACACCTCGCGACAATATGAAACAGTCTATTTAATTTTTTTAAGGTTAATAGGTCTGATATTATAATGAAGACTATTTATCCGATTGAATTCGATGAATAACTTATGTAAACAACGATAACTTTTACAATGAGAAAAAAGGAAAAAGTAGATAATTTTGGCACTAATTGCTGGAGAACATAATTGTACGTCGCACACTTCAATGACCAATTGAAAATCGACCTTCTGATGATAACAAAAGAAAAAAATTTCAGTTGACAGATATGTCACTTGTAAAACCAAAAACGGCTGGTGGTCCACTTCTGTCAATGCTACTCTACCTTAAAACTTTTGTCTTATCTTATTTAAAATATGTGTTCACTTTATATTTTAAAACTATTACAAAAATTTGTTTATTGCTAATAACTTTTAAACAAAAGCCCATTAGCGGCTACAAAAAAATACGTGTCTAATGGATTACGATGTAGAATAACATATTGCAGCCCAGTAAAATTTGGGGAGGGACACTTGACGACCTCTCTTTGTAAGTATGGCACCCAGCACGATCATTATGTTATATTTCTCTCTCAGTGTGGACATTTTGCTGTCTGACACAAGATTGCACTTTAAAACGTAATAATAACGTACTAATAAAAATCTTTACTAATTTCCTTAAGGAATTGAAATTGTTTATTATTATCCTCAATTAATGGATAATAATAATTGCTAACGTCGTAGTAGACTTTAACAATTAAGATTATAATTACCAGTTAAGACAATATTGTGAAGGGTCTGTTCAGGAGACGGATACTTATACGCTGGGCTTGACAAGTCGTGCACGAAAGATTTAATTCTAGCTATCTAGCAGGGAGTTAGAGAACTACACGGAGAAAAATAGTTAGCTATTTCAGCTAATTTTTAGCTACCTTAGCTAACCTTAATTGCTATTATATTGATAGCAATTATTGTTAGCTAATGCAGCTAATAATTAGCTAAAATAGCTAAAAATTTTTGCTAAAACAGCTAATTATTAGCTGTAATAGCTAAAAATTCGCTATCCATATAATAGCAAACTCATTTTTCTCCGTGTAATAGAGGTTTCTTTTATAATTCTCTAACTCGCTTCTAAATGGCTGAAACTACATCTCAGTGCACGATTTGACTCGCACAGAGTATGAGAATCCATCTCCTGAACAGACCCTTCACAATATTATCTTAACTAATAATCTTGATAGTTAACGTCGTTAGCAATTTTTTATTAATATCCATTGATCACGAATAATAATATCCTTCAATTCTTTGGGGAAATTAATAAAGTTTTTTATTATAACTTTGTTATATTATATATTACATAAAAATTAAATATTTTTATTTCTTTGACTTGTGGTAATCCTGTTAATGAAAAAACTGCCGTAATTTCAAAACGAAGAGAGACTCTACACTGAAAAAAATTCTCAGTAAATTTGACTACTTTTAACTACTTTTCTTAGTTCAATAAGTCCCCAAAGATATGTTTGAACTTAAATTAGTTACTGGATATGTAGTTGAATGAAGTAGTAATACAATTGCATTAACTACTTTTCTTAGTTAAATAGGAACCAATGACAGTTTTGCAGTAAAATTAACTGCTTATTTGTAGTTAAAGTTACTAATATAACTCAGTAGTAAAAATAGCAAAATAAAATTATTTATTATTTATTATAAATATAATAATATTAAAACTCAATAGAGTTCCATTTTTTTATATTTTCCTCTACTTACTTTTGTTTATCTATATACCTTACATATTTAATTTCTATATACCTAACAGAGAAAAATCCCTAAACTCCGGGAATTGAACGCTCGACCCTAACATTCGTAAACCGATAACCTAACCACCTAATCACGCTCGCCCGCTACGATGACTTGCTTAATACTTGAGGACATACCTGCCACAGTTCAACTGATAACTGTAGTTAACTTTACTACTTAAAATAATTGCATTAATACCTTTTTCACAGTTGGTACTCTTCTAAAACTCTTTAACAAAAATTACATCGAAAATTATTCAACTGATAGAAGAAGTAAAATCTACTACAAAATCTCACTTCACTCTACATTTAAACTGTCATTGGAGCCTATCGAACTACTTTAAGTAGTAGAATCTACTACGTTATTTCTGTAACATACCTGCAAATACAAATTTAACTACAAATTTACTTTAATTGAATTAATAAATTTTAACTACATAAAATAGTTAAAATAAGTATGCAAAGATAGTTAGACTAACTGAAAAATTAATTCCTTTTATTAATTTTTACTCTACTAAAGGGATGTAGTTGAAAATGTCTCATGAATTTTTTTCAGTGTATGCTTCAAGATGAGACTTTTTCAAGACAAGACGAAATTGAAAACACTAGTTATTTAGAATAAAAGTAAGCTGTAAATTAAAATTAGTTTAAAACTATCTAAATTTTAAGTCTTGAACTTATTGTTAAAATTACCAAATTAATTTCTCAAATGGATCGCGGAGTAAAAAGAATTGAAAAAATTATCAAATAAAGTTAATTTTGTTTCATAATTTGATTTCAGTGTTTACTACGATCCGTTCCTAGCAGCACACGCAGCAACGCAGGACCCGAACTATAGGCTACAGGTGAGAATACATTTTTGATTTAAAAGACGAATTTGGATATACTCTCATCTATTTTCACGAACTTGTTTTGCTTTTTGACTGAGGGAAAATTTGATTATCTTAAAGAGTTTTCACTCATTTTTAAGCGTTACTAGTTCGTTTATTTTTGTTAAGCTAATTTCTTAATAGAAAGAGAAAAACAAACAAAACCTATTTTAAATAAAGGAAACAATGGTTGCCACTCGGAATCACAGCTGGAATGGCCGCAAGCTACAGCTGACGTTAGTTTACACATCTACCTCTCTAAATCGTCATCCTTTGTCGCCTTTTAATACTGTATTTATGCGAATCATACTGCAGCTAAAAGAACATCAAAATTCCAAAAGTTTAAGCAATTGTCTCTGTATAATATCATGCAACTAACGTGAATTTAAAAAGTTAGGTTTTTTGATAGAACCATATTTGGATATTTCATTTTCACACTCGTTAATTCTTAAATTGATAGATCTTAAAGATTCTTAATGTAAACCTATATTAAAATATTATGTATTATTTATTTTAATTAATGTTTCATGGGTGTATGAGTTTTCTTTCTCACGGGGGTGAAGAGGACAATGCTTTTAAAGCATCCCCAGGAAACTCCCATTTTTATGGGGTATGACGAACTCGACACAAAGTGCAAGAAAAAAAATGGCAATCTCCAATAAATATGCATATTTATTTTAAATTAACAATACCCCATGAAATTCTGCAAGTTTTTTATTTTAAAAATAATTTAACATTTCTAGGGTTGTCATAGGTCAGAGAAACCAGGGAAAAGTCAGGGATTTTTATTAACACTGTAAAAAAAGAGCGTCTTGGTTTAAGACGTTTAAGTGGTCACATTTTAGACGTTTATAAGCGTCTTATTTGCCTTCTAAAATGCATGTATTTGGAGGTTATGTTTTCCATTTAAGACGCTCAAATAAGACAATTAAGACAATTTATTTTCAACTATTCAAAAGTAATAAAATTCTTCGCAGAAATTCATATATTATGTTCAAAAAATTTTTAAAATGCCACTTCAAAATTTTAATTATCTTTAAAAATAATAAAATTCTTCTCCAAAAATCAATTATATTCAAAAATTTTCCTTAATTCAATCATTTTCAATATCTATTATTTTATAATAAAATTTTTCAAAACATTTCAATTATTTAAAAAAAGGTGTTGATAAAATTTAAAGCAAACATTACATTATTTTCATAAACAATAACATTTTTTACCTAGATTCAATTATTTTCAAGAATAATAAAACTCATAATAGAATTTCAATTATTTTTAATATAATTTTTAATCGAATTTCTCCATAAATGTAATTATTCTTGAAAATTTTATTAAAATTTGTCGAAAAATGGAATTATTTAAAAATTTGTTGATAAAATTCTTTATGAGGATTCAATTTTGAAAAACATTCATTTATTCAATAAATTATTTATTTAGAATTTTCTAATAAAAATTGATTTAAAAATAATTATATTTTTCGAAGAATTTACTTAAAATTGTATTAAAAATAATTGAAATCCTGTGAAGAATTTTATTATTTAGGAGAATAATTGAATTCTTGTAACGAATTTTTATTAAATTTTTTTTAAATAATTGAAATCCTGTAAAGCATTGAATTATTTATGAAAATAATTGAATACTTGCAATGCATTTTATTACTTTTTTTAAAATAATTGAATTCGTTTAAGAAATTTTATTAATAAATAGTAGATTTTGAAATATTATACACGAAATGTAAATAAAATATAATTGTTTTGCTGAGGTGTGAGTACTAATATAATCATTATGTAATGAGACTCCGCTTGTATAAGCCCTAGGGGCTAAGAACAAGGTTTTGAATAAAAAATAATTAAAATCCTATAAAAAATTTTATAATTTATGAAAATAATTGAATTCTCAGAACGAATATCAATACAATATTTTTTTAAATAATTGAATTCATGTGAAAAATTTTATTACTTGTAAAAATAATTATAAATTCTTAGGAAGGATTTTATTAAAATTTTTGTAAATACATAATTTAATTTTTTTTGAAAAATTTTATAGAAATTTAAATTATTATAAAACATGAAGATATCGATCACTCCGAGTAGAAGACTCGAAGTGATTAGTATCTTCATATTTTATAATAATATTCTTATAAGTTGTTGAATTTCATGACATTTTTGAAAATCTTAATTCCAATGCAATAATAATAATGATTAAATATTTATTTAAAAAATAATTTATTGGTGTTTTGGAATAATTTTACAATTAAAAAAATTCGTAAGAGTCATTCCATTATATTTCGACTAAAGTCGTTGCTGACTAATTTTAAAAAATTATAATATTTGGCAGAAATGATGTTAAAGATATTAGGATCACCGAACAAAAAGAATTTTTTAAATATTTTTTATATTTATTGTAAAATAAGCATCTAAAGTATATGAAGTCGTAAAAACTGTCACTTTTTCATCTATTAGAAAATGTTGAAAAAAACATATAATTTACTATAAAAACGTAAAAAAATTATAATAATTTATTAAGAATGAATTGTTTTATTATTATAAATTGATAAAAACAATTATTAATAAGAAATATTAAATAAAAAATGATTTTAAAGTTCACCTGCCAAATAACCTAAATTTGCGCAAATTTCATTCACTAAATGTAAGAAAGAAAAATTATTAAATTGAATAAAACCTTATGAAATATAAAGTACCTGTGATTAACTTTTAGTTTTCCTTATCACTTTCTTCCTTTTTTCTTCATAAATGTTAAAAAATAAGGAATTAAAACTGGCACTTTGCTTATTTTCACGATTTTAAAATGTAAATAACTTCTGCCCAGAAAAATTAAAAATTACGAAAATCGGTCAATAATTAATTGATCACTAGATACACTCACTAGAAAAAGATTTTCTTTGGTCCCGAAGCTATTTCTCAAATTAATTAACTTTAAACTTTTTACTATTTTTATCAGGTTAATACATGTGTTTTTAAAGGACGAAGAACTCTTCTTGTTTAATTGTTTTAAACCAACTTCAGTTTTAAAAAAATCACATGTATTAACCTGATAAAAATAGTAAAAAGTTTAAAGTTAATTAATTCGGAAAATAGCTTCGGGACCAAAGAAAATCTTTTTCCAGTGAGTGTATCTCTACTGCCCAAATTAAAAACCTAGTAAGTCGCATTTGCCGTTAAGGCAAAAGTCGCTTAAATGGTAAGCAGGCTTCGAAGTGACACACTTTTCCACTTTTTTGACACTTTTTTTGGTCAAGCCTACTTTTTGCTACTTATTTTGTCAAAAAGCTACTAAATGCTACTTTTTCCCAAAAAAAGGTAAAAAAAAATTGACAGAATTCAAGAATTTTAGTTTTTTTGTGAATTTCGTAGATTTCAAAAAGCCCGCCAAGTGAATTAAATTTATTATTGGACGCGTGATTATAATATATTATAATTACTAATAGTGGATGTTTATTAAATTACAACTTTTGAACTTTTCGGATTTTTCGTATCTAATTTTATTATTCTTTAAGCTTCTTAAAAAAATTAAAAACTAAGTTTTTTATTTTTCACCATATAATTTATAATATAGTAATACCTTTTTTGACTTTATAAAAGTTTCATCAAGTACAGAAAAAATCAATTAATTAAGAATAAAAACTTAATTCTTTTGGTTATATAAATTGTTTGATTAAAAATCCAAAATAATATTTCCCGTGTAGAAATTGCCATTATAGTCCCTGATAATAATAGAGCTCTTTTGTGGCCCGTAACAGTTTTCCCCAACAAAAAATTATATCGTTTTCCCTATCAGGGCCTAATACGGCCCGATTGATGAGACCGAATTCCACATTTTCGAATATAATATGGCACGCAAAGTAATTCCCTTATAAGGGTCCCAAACAGAACAAATACGGTCCCTAATATTAAAAGTTTAATTAATTATTTTTTATTATTTTGCGTCTAGTATTATACAATCAAATTGTTAGTCTCAGTTTATTCAACTACTACATATTATTATATTATAGTATATTATAATTATTAATTAGTTATTCATTATTATGAATTTATATTTTTAAAAAATTAAAAAAATAGCTCCTTGCAACATTTTAGTTTATTTAAACAATTTGTTTATTAATGTGGCACGCGAAGTAAATCTCTTTCAACGGTCCCAGTCAGAGGAATAAGGCTCGCTGATTACAAATCTGAAGTCATTTTTAAACATTTCAAAATGGCGGATCCAATATGGCGGTCAAAATTAAAAATTTGATCAGATTCGAATAATATTTGTAAGCCGGGGGTTTTTAGAGTCGCTGATTACGAAGCTGATTTTACTTTTTAAAAATTCAAAATGTCGGATCCAAAATAGATTGTCAAAAAACTTGTTACTCACGGGTTTTTGGAGTCGCTGATTACGAATCTAATATCACTTTTTAAAAATTCAAAATGTCGGATCCAAAATAGATAATAAAATATTTAAATATGATCCAATTCGCTTAAAACTTGTAAAAATAATAAATTATTTACATTATAGATTAGTGAAAGCAAGAATTTCTTAAAAGTGACTTCAAATTTGTAAATAGCGATCTCAAAAAACCCCAAATAACAAGTTTTATGTGAATCTGATCAAATTTGAATTTTTTCCGCCATATTGGAACAGCCATTTTTAATTCGTAAAAAGTGACTTCTGATTCGTAGTCAGCGACCCTAAAAACCTCCGAGTCACAATTTTTAATAAAACTGCGTCAAATTAAAAATTTTTCCGCCATATTGGAACCGCCATTTTGAATTTTTAAAAGTGACATCAGATTCTTATTCAGCGACCCCAAAAACCCCCGAGTAACAAGTTTCATGCGAATCTGATCAAATTTGAATTTTGACCGCCATATTGGATCCGCCATTTTGAATTTTGAAAAAGTAACATCAGATTCTTAATCAGCGACGACAAAAACCCCCGAGTAACAAGTTTCATGCGAATCTGATCAAATTTGA